GTCCATTCTTTCTTGGGGTGCTTTTTTGTTTTGTTTCAAGACAGGGCTTCTCTGTGTAGCTTTGGAGCCTGTCCTGGAACTCACTCTGTAGCCCAGGCTGGCCTAGAACTCACAGAGATCCACCTCCCTCTGACTCCCTAGTGCTGGGATTAAAGGTGTTCACTACCACCGCCCGGCTTCTTGGGGTGCTTTTAATGATAAATATTTAAATAGATAATGGTAATCTATTAAAATATTCTTGAATTATTATTTTATTGGTGTTTTGACATTCCTCACAAATAGGTAGTAGATACCTATAACCCATGTCATGTCTGACTCCTGCCACCATTGATTCCAGAAATTACTTATCAAAATAATCAACATAACATTTTATTTAATTAATGTCTACAGTTTTATATATATAATTAAAGAAAGGTGAATGAAAGTTGAATGATACTCCTCAGCTACTGTTTATAAGTTCTTTGGTCCTTAATTCCTTAATTTTGGGATCATGGGCCTTTTCTTTGCATTTTCTGATTCATGATCCCAATTAATTCTCTGGTCTGAAGGTAACACTGTGCAATTCAAGGATGTAAACAATCAGCAGAACAAGACCAGAGTGAAGTTGACAGTAATGATGTAACTATGTTCCCAACTAAGACTTCCTAACATTAGCAGAGATGCACAGTATTACCCTGCTGGGGAGTAAGCAACCATTTCAGGGATCCCCCTTTCCTAATCCACTCAGCTTGGATTCCTAATAAAAACAGCCATCCGCCCCTATCACTCTTCTTCATATTTGGAGAATCTGTGACAAAATTTGTTTCATGTTTGGATAAGAATATGCTTGATGGTGACCAAAGTTGCTCCTAAGAGAGGACGTGACAAGGTGTTTTGTTTTAGTATCTATAGTGGCAAGGGCATCTCTATCTATATTCTTGCTTCAAACAGTGACAAATGGCATGATTATTTTTCCTAAAATGCCTAGTTAATTGTCAACTGCCTTTTCTTCAACAGCTTTACTATGTGCGCTAGACAGTTTGAAACAAAACTGCAAAATACTTTCAAAATATTTCTTCTGCATTTTGACCTATACTTGTAAAAAACTATAAAAAGTAACATTTTTAAAGAATTAGTTAATGTTTCACATATTCATATAAAACACAAACCATTTAGAAGTGTATATACTTGAAATCAAATAGGCATGAGCTCAGATCTCATTGCTATCACCATAGCTAAGTGATTTGGGGGAGAGTATATAATTTTTGAGTCTTGGTTTCTTCATTTATAAATGAAATAATAATTACTTGTTCATTGTGGCACTGTGAAAAATTAAAGATGCAATCACTATACAATGCCTAGCACACAATGGTCTGAAGAAACAATAGCAATTAGATATAAGTAGGAGAGAATTGTAAAAACTTGTAGTACTTAATTTTTTCAATGTATCAAGCACACATTGATCTTAGCATATGTAAAGCATCTGAGTAAAGGGCTTAGGATTCAAACACTGATGTTTTGCATAGGATCTTAACGTTTTTTATGGGGATAAACACATATATATTAGAAGTAGGGCAGTGTGTGCAAACATGAAAAGCAGAACAGCTAAATTTGCTTGGGGAGCTTGGAAATGCTTCATAAGACAATAAATAATTGACGTAACTGGATGAGCATTAGTGTGGTGGTTTGAATAAGAATGGCCCTCATAGGCTCATATATTTGACCGCTAAGTCACCAGGATTTGCAACTGTTTGAAAGGATTAGGTGCCTTTTTAGAGCAGGTGTGGTCTTCTTGGAGAAGTGTGTCATTGGGTGTAGGTTTTGAGGTTTCAAAAGTCCATGCCAGGCCGAGTCTCCATGCCCTCCATCCAGCACCATATCTGTCTGTCTGTCTCAATGCTCCATGCCATGATGACAACAGACTAAGACTCTGAAATTGTAAACAAGCACTCAATCAAATGCTTTCTCTTATATCAATTGCCTTGGAAAATGGATGGAACTAGAAAAAACATCATCCTAACTGAGGAAACCCAAACATACAAGGGATAAACTTGGCATGTGGATATTAGCTGATAAGTAAATGATAACCAAACTATAGTTCACAGACCCAGAGAGATTAGCTCAACAGGAAGAGACTGGGGAGACACATGGATCTCCCTGGGAAGGGGAAGTAGTAGATTTTATGTGTAGACTAGAGGATGGGAACAGGTGGATAAGATGGGGAGAGGGAGGGTAGATAGGGTTGAAGGAGGGAATGTGGGTAGAATTGAAGGGTGGTACAGAAATCTAGTGCAGTGTACTCTTCCTGAAATATATGAAAGCAATTATAATGATATATCCAAATAATAGGGGAGACTGAGTCCCAACTCGCCATCTCTTTTCACCAAATGAAGCTTCCAAAACAGGGACTGAGTTATACTCATTTGAAATTTTTTAGCCAATGGATTTCCATGGAAATCCCCAAACAACCCAGGATTGTGCCAAAACCATAGGCTGCTCTCCACTAATGGACAGCAAGGCCCCACTGCAGAAGACAACACCCACACAACTCATTGAACGTGGAGAGGTTGAGCTAGTGCTGACATAGAACCTTCAACCCTGTGTTCTAGTGGCTTTGGTATGGAAAGGTCTCTGCAGGCTACCAAAAAGGAAATGTAAACACCAACCCAGCCATGAACCCTTTGATCTATAATGCTGTCCTGTCTGCAAGATATGTTAGGACAATGGTGTCACAAAGCTTGTGGGAGTAACCAAGTCACATCTGATTTGACTTAAGACCCACTCTACAAGATGAAACCCATACCCAACACTGCTTGGATGATCAAGAACCAGAGACTAGATAGCCCAGAGACCTGGCATAAAACCAAATACTACTGTTCTTGAAAAAAAACAAAGCAGTGATAAAATGACTCCTAATGATAGTCTGGTATACTCAAAGATCAGTGCCTTATTCAGCCATCATCAGAGAAGAAGCTTTCACCTACAGCATAGAGGAACAAATAGGGCCAGATATTTTGCAAAGTGAGAGACCTTGCAACACACCGCTGGAAATGGGATGTCCCCACTAAATCCCTCCCCTTAGTGCTCAGGGAACTCCAAGGAAGAGGAGGTGGGAAAACTGTAAGAGCCAGAGTAGATGGAGGACACTAAGAGAATGAGTCCCTCTAAGTCAACTGAGTAAAGTTCATATGAACTCACAAAGACTGAAACAGCAAGCACAGGGCCTGTCCCATATTCACCAGCTCTTCTGCACATATATGAAAGCTTTCAGTTTAGTATTTTTAGGGGACTCCTGAGAGTGTGAACAAGTGGATCTCTGGTACTTATGTCGTCTCTTGGGCTTCTATCTTTCTGTTGGTTTGCCTTGTCCAACTTCCATGTGATGGTTTTTGCTTTAATTGATTATATTTTATCGTGTTGTATTTTGTATTTCTATCTCTTAGAAACCTGTTCTTTTCTTTTCTAATGAGAGACATAAAAGGAGTGGATCTATATGGGAAGGGGGAGTGTGGAGGAACTGGGAGGAGTAGAGGGAGGAGAAACTGTAATCAAGATGTATTATAAATCTATTTTCAATAAAAGGGGGCGGGAGAGTTGCCTTGGTCATGGTGTCTCTTTACATCAATGGAAACCCTAAGTAAGACAAGGATTCTGTAGAGAACATGAAGGGGATTTGGGGCAGGAAATGATGAAGACTAACAAGACCTAGCTTTAACGTAGGAAATTAGATCAACAGGTTAATTTTTCAACAGCTCCAACTGACATCAAATAAAATTCCAACTGTCTGATGCACCACTTCTGATGGGCTGCCTTTGGGAAAGAATAGATTAAAGCACCTCTGTACAGTAACATTTGTTAGTACATTGTGCTTTGTTTAAAATGTCCCGTAACTGGGGACAGAAAAGAAATAATAGGAAGAACTGTTATTTTGGACCTAAGACTCATGATGTCTAGCTCTTGCTTCCCCTATAATTTCTGTGATGGGTTGGCCTTTTCAACGGGAACACCCTGGGATTATGCTAAAAATTGCCTTTCATTAATAACAAAACTCTGCTCAAATTTAGAAGCTGAAGATACACAACTTCTCTCTAGAAAATATAACCCTCCAATCTTGTAAAGTGGTGAACAAACCATCTGAAGTGTTTGATTTGAAACAAATAAGAGCAATGTGACACAGCTAAAGTGCCAGAGAGAATTAGGCAGGAAAGAGGGAAAACATCTCAGGCAAAACTCCCGGCAAGAGTGGACTTTGATGAGGCAAATAAGTCCATTGCTAATGACATCTTCAATGGGGGATGGAAAGATGGCTCAGCAGTTACGAGTGCTTACTGCCTACAAAGGCTCTGGGTTGGGTTCCTATTGGTTACATCAGGTGGTTTACAACCTCCTATAATTCTAGTTCCAGATATCCAACACCCTCTTCTGGCCTCCATGGGCACCTTCACACATGAGGTTCACATAAACTCAATGCAACCACCCACACGTGATAATGAATACATACATACATATATATATACATATATATTCATAGTAGTATATATAGTATACACACATACACATATACATATACTAATTTTTAAAAGAAACATAGACTCCTCAAAGGTCTGCCACAGATCTTGAAGGAATAAAACAGTCTTGCTGTGTGTCTGGAAAGCTGCCCAAGTGCCACAGTTACTTCTAACACAGTTCCTCTGAAGCAAGGTGGGGTGGAACCTAGTGCCAATGGCCGTATAGGTGGAATGCATCCTTGAGGTGTGATGACAAACTTCTAATGGCACAGAAGCCACACTCATCCAGAAACGAGCTAGTTGTATGATTTAACACCACTGGCATCTCTTAAAAATGGATTCATCTACCACATAGTGTACATATGACTCAATACCACAGAAAGATCTTATTTACTATCAGTATTCTTCTCTCATTGTAATCTTCAAGATTGGGAAGGGAAGTATGAACTAGAGAACAGTTCTTCAGGAGATTGTTGTTTCATCAAAGGAAGCTCTTGATTTTAATCCACTCACCATTCCGTGGTTCAGCCACCCTGGGATGAAGTTGTCAAGCAATTTTGGGTATATCATCTCTCTGTCATAGGCATAGATGGTCCAGAACACTGTGACAACGAACTGGAAAGAAAAGAAAATCTTTTGTTTCAAGTTCATCTTTTACAACACATAACTGTGTTTTAAAAACCCAAGAGAATTTTTTTTTGAGAATTTGTAATTTATGCTGAGACAGTCAGAAAACCAGTGAATGACTAGAAAAATGGTTCCTCCTTAACTCCGTGGTATTCACTCTGTGTCAAGCTCCTCTGTGATCTCCAACTGTGTTCTTCAGGCAGAGGAGCCTGTTTGAAAGGGAGAGAGAAAAGACCCGCTGTCAGGAAGAACACCATCTTGGGGCTAATTGTGCCAGTCTGATCCCTCTCCACGGGGTTTGTAAGTTCACTCAGGGATATTTGTGGAGAGGTCCCGTTCCTCACTAGAAAGAGCATACATTGCAAACAATGTTGACAATGTCCGTCTTCCTTGATCCTGCCACGTGGTTTAAATGCTGTTCATCTCTTCATGTTGGCTTCGAACCAATACCAGCACTAAACCAACTGCCAAGCACACATCCCCAGGTCACATTTCTAGGAAATGTATTAGTTCATACAGCCTAAGCCAAGGCTTAGCTACACTGAGAAGTAGGGTGTGTGAAGGAGAAAAGGAAGATTCCTAATTCTCTTGGAGTAACTTTGAAGTTTATCTGAATTATAGAAGTTTCCTTGGGCCCAATAGCAGCACAGTAATCCAGAGAGAGTAGAACCAGTATTTATTTGATTTATTATTTCACCATTCCTCAAATTAACAGTGAGAAATAAAGTTCAGATTCAAATAAAGAAATTAATGGCCCATGGTCTTGGCCATCAGCACGGAGTTTAACAATTTCTTTGTAAATTACACACACCCCTCTATAGAGTGATTTTAAAAATCCTATAGAATTAAAATAATGCAGCATGAGTATAAACCATTTTATTTTGGTCTTTATAATTTTATAATTATAGGTTATCTATACTCCTGCATTATATTAATGCAAATAATAAGTATTTTGATTCAACTTTAAATAAGATACTAGGTTATACTTGGTAGCTCAAGACTAGGAATCAAAAGGTCCCAAAATTCTTTCCCAACTATGTCTGCTTTGAAATCTGGATGGTCTTCTCCCTTGAAACCTGAGGTGTTTCAAACATTTACTGTTTTATAAAATGTAAAGATTAATCATTACAGCAGGTGACTGTAAGCCTCTGTACACTATTTTAGAGCCCCCTTGGACACCCCCCTAAGTTGTGTACCTTGCTTTTGGATGAACATTTTTTTTACTATCTTTGCAAATGTGCAAAAGTAAAACAAAAGAACAAAATTAATTATTACACCTCAAGGAAAATTATGATGATTTTTCAAGTTCAATGAATAATTTTTAAGTTATCCATAATTTTGAATTGTTTGCCATCTTAGACTTCAAGTGGTCTGGCTATTCATAACAACTCTATTCACAATGCAGATATTTGGTAGTTATTTTAAATTTTATAATGATTGATTTATTTTCTATTTTATGTGCACTGATATTTTGCCTATATGCATGTCTGTGTGAAGGTGTAAGATCTCCTGGAACTGGAGTTACAGGCAGTGGTCAGCTGCCATGTGGTTGCTGAAAACTGAACCCTGGTCCTCTGGAAGAGCAGCAGCTAGTGCTCTTAACCGATCAGTTATCTCTCGAGCCATTGTTTTAAACTTTTATTATATTACCTGTCAACATTATCTCCTTAAAGTAGGCAGAAATATAGACTGTTTCGTTTTTCCATGCTACAAATGGAAAAATCAAGATTTTCATTTTTGCTTTAATAGCATTTATTTGTACATAAGATTTCACATATCATAGATGGAAGGGACTCTCACAAAAACCATTAGTTCTGATCTCATTAATTTTGCTAATAATGTAAGAGAATCTACAAAACGATTTTTTTACCTCCTTATTATGAATAAAGAATACCAAGGAAAGTTCACATCTATCATGCTTTTAGGAATACATATGAATTAATATATAAATATATATATTTATTGATACATATATATGGATATAGATAGATATTATATATATGTATATATTCCTGTAACAAGAGTAAAAAGTAGGTCATTTTTTCCCCTCAGTGATCTTCAAATTGGTAGTCTAGATAGTTTAAAGTAATGTCAAGGCTGCAAGAACAAGGTGATCCTGGGAGCAGGGAGGGATGGTGGGAAAGAAATCCTACATACAGCAGGGGATGGGAGGGACGGGAGAAGACTAAGAAGTCTTGTTAAAGTGGGTGGGGTGGGGATCTAGGGAGGCTATTGGATGGCTAGAAGTCAGAATACATGGAAGACAGAATAGATGAAAAATAAAGTCCAGAAGGCCATGACGAGGATGAGCAGTCGCAAATGAAGCCCTCCCTCTCTACAGTGAGAGGAAGCACTCTAGCGGGCAACCAGAAAGTGGGCCGAGCCCAGAGTGGCAATAATCTGAGGCTCTTGGAGTGGATACAAGTGTGAGGGAGTCACTGAGAACATGTAAAAGGAAGACTCTGACTGTCACGATGGCTCCCCTGAGACTTGATGACATTTTTTTTTTTCTAGTAGAACCAAGCAGGATATTTCCCAGGGTTGTGAGATCTATGAGAAAGAATTCAGAGAGAGGATGCTGGGGGTTTCAAACTGCTGTGAAGTTGACGGCTGAGGAGATCGAAGTTGAAAAAGCTTTGAGAACGAGGGTATCCTTTCGTGACCAATCAGCCTTTCTAAACTGCTACTTGGGAAGAGATGGTTGCCAATAAGTTACATGAGATGCCTCATATAAAACTGTTTTACAAACCAGACCTCAATGAAAGACAGAACTTCCTATTTTCACTTGGTTCTTTCTGTATCTATTGGACAACTCAGTGAGAAAAATCTAAATACAGCTGATTCGATGCCTCGGTCCCAGGGATGCACTACTAGGCACGTGCTTTACAGTCTGGATACTCAGTGTGGTCCATGAATCAGCAGCATCCACATCACTTGAAATCTGTCAGATACTATGAGCCCTGTGTCTCACTCTGCAGTAATTTGATCCTGCATTTTAATAATATCTTGAAGATGTTCCTGCTTTGAGAGGCATCTTCTACCACTATGTGTTTCCAGCCTTCCCATTGGAGTGATGATATCTCAGGTCTAGTAGCTTCTCATTCATAATCTCCTCTATTACCCTTCTAGACTACATCCAGGTGACTTCAGTCTGGGAATTCCCTGCCCTAATATACAAATATGTCCCAGGGTTCCTTCCTCTGGTCTGACTCCCAGGTAATTATAATGAATAACTGGCTTTAAATAGTGGCTTCTTAGTTACTTTTCTTGTTGCTCTGATAAAATATCCCAACAAAAGCAACTTCAGAAAGTATTTGTTTTAGTTCACAGTAGGACATTACAGTCCATCATAGTGGTCATAGTGGTGAGGTCATAGACTCAGAAGGAACTTGAAGTAGCTGTTTATGTTGCTTCTACAGTCAAGAACTCCTCTACCCCAAGGTTCAGGGAATATCACAAGAGTCAGAGCAGAGAATACATAAGAGGATGGGGAGGAATGATGTGAAATGCTGTCCTCTGCAGATGACATGGCTGCTGTACACACACGCTCACAGCAGCTGTGGTTTTCTGCACAAGACTTGGACAATATCAAGTCAGTTAAAATTCTTGCATGGGTCAGGGGAGGGGCTATGGAGGCCCTACCTCTGGCTGAATAGCCATTGGTAGTTGATGTCTGCTAAGGGAGAGACACCCACCTTTCCTCAGGGGATCTGGCAACTAATATATTGCCCATGACCAGTGATTGTTCCCACACCCATACAAATCCAGCCTCACAGCACTCACTAGAGTAAGGATGAAGACATGAAATTGGGAGAGATACAGATTACGTGGGCCTAGGAAAAGTTAGAAGGGAAGTAGAGGGGTTGGATATGATCAAGATACATTGAACCTATGTATAATGTGTTCAAATAACTTAAACACAAAAGCAAAGAGCATGAAAGTTTGTGTTCAGCCTACTCTCTCCCTGTTATATAGTCTAGGAGCTGAGGCTGGGGAATGGTGCCACCTACCATGGGTGAGTTTTCCCACTACAATTAACCTAATCAAAATATTCCACTGCAGGCAAGTCAAGAGGCCCATGTGCCCGATGATTTTATATCCCATCAAGTTGGCACTGAGATTAACCATCACAAGTGGTGAAGCCATGTCTATTTCTGTGGGGTAAGGAATTGGTGTAGGTGTAAACACATAGGCAAGGAGCCACTTCAGATCAGTGTGGAGCCATTGGGGGAAACCCCTTCAACTTCGCTGAACATCAATTAAATTCTCTCATATTACAGACCCTTTCTCAATTCAATGGGAGAAATTATACAGGACAAACCAAGGGGCAGAATCCTGGGACCATATTAAAATTCTCTTTACCACATGTTCCTACAATGTCCATTGTTTCAGAATGGTTTTGATATCCTTCAGTCCTTTTCACTTCCATTTAAACCTTAGAATCTGAGCTTGTTAAACTTTTACAAATGTCTTGTCAGAATTCTCAGTGTTACTGTTTGAGACCCGACCACCTGGCTACACTGAGATTTCCTACCGGTAGCATAGTTTGCCCATGTACTGAAGTTGTCTTTCATTTCTCTCAGAAGTATTTTTAATTAACAATGTACAGATAGATATTCACAATATTTCCTGAATCTATACAGAGGTATTTCGTGTTTTTGGAAGCTACTGTTTACTATTATATTTTTGTGTATCCTTTGCTGCCACTTTATAAAAACGTAAGTTTTAAATAGTGGCATTGTTTCCTGTGCCTTTACTAAATTTGATTACTAGTTTTGGTAACTACTTTAAAAATTATTTTAGATGTGTGTGTGTGTGTGTGTGTGTGTGTGTGTGTGTGTGTGTGTGTGTATCCAAAAATTCTTTTTATAAACTACATGTTTTTTAATGCTACTTAAGTCCTTAGCACAAAAGTGAGTAAAGGTAATTCACAGTGAAAGCTTTTATCATCTTCTCTGTTGCAGAGAATTGTTCAACTTCTCAACAGT